TGGCAGCCCTGACCCATTTGTTATAAAATAGCTCAAGGCTCCATCTCTCTAAACCCTTCTCCCTTCTCCCCAGGGCTCACAGGGTTCCGGCTGGTGAACGGCAGCACAGCCTGCTCCGGGAGGGTGGAGATCCAGGAGTTTGGTGCCTGGGGAACCCTCTGTGACTCGCACTGGGATCTATCAGATGCCAACGTTCTCTGTCATCAGCTTGACTGCGGATTCGCTGTGTCCGTGCCAGGAGGAGGGCACTTTGGGAAGGGAACCGGCTCTGTCTGGCCAGAGACATTTCACTGTAAAGGGACTGAACCCCATTTGTGGCACTGCCCTGTCACTGCCCTGGGGGCCTCTCCGTGCTCACACGACAGTGATGCCAGTGTGGTTTGCTCAGGTAAGTGCAGGAGCAATGTTGATTAATGACACCTGCCTCTCAGTGTGTGACATTGCTCCAGAGCACAGGGAAAGAAAGCATGATCTGGGATCAAGGATTGTGCATTAAAACAATAGTTATTACCAGAAGAAATCCCTGTATTCTCAGCTTCAGTAACATTGCCTCCCAGACCATGTTATCATGGAAGATAATATTAAGAATGAACAAGAAGAATAGGAGCAATTGCTTCCAAAAGAAAGGAGCAGCTAGGACAGCTAGAATTCATGAGACTGATACATAGAGTGCCTGTAATGGCTGACACATCCCAGGAAAAGCCTGGTCCATTTAGAAATCCTGATGCAAAGGGAAGGATAGGCATTGGGGATCTGCTTTTTGGGACCTGAGGAAAATCCTGATCCATTGGGGAAAGCCAAATGCACTACCATATTGGCTCTGCAAACTGCAGAAGGGGAATTAGGCACTTGGGCTCTGCATTCCTATGTCAGTTCTGAGAACACTGTATCGGACTGCAGTGCTTCATGCTCAGGATCCCTCCTTTCCCAACTAGCGGGGAGAGACTTGGTCCTCAGCCGGGAGCTGCTGCTGTGGCTGAGGGAGAAGTGCCCCTCCCCCAGCCAGGCAGCTCCATGCGCAGAGCCCTGAGCCCCTGGCTGGGTGGGGCTCATTAAGCAGCTATGGGGCCATGCTGCTGCTCAGCTTAGAAAGAACCTTGGTCTCAGGTAAATAGGATGAAATTCAAGAAGCACTAATGCAAAGTACTCCACTGAGGAAGGAACAATCAGTTTCACACATACAGACTGGGAAGCCACTGTCTAGGAAGGTGCATTGCAGAAAGTGATCTAGGGCTCATAGTAGAGTACAAGCTACATATGAGTCAACAGTGTAACACGGTGGCAAAAAGCAAACATCATTCTGGAATGTATTAACTGAAGTGTTGAAACAAGACATGAGAAGTAGTTCTTCCATTCTATCGTATGCTGACTGGGACTCATCTGGAGTACTGTATCATGGACAAATTGAAGAAGGTCCAGAGGAGAGCAGCAACAAAGATTAAATGTCTAAAAAACATTACTTGTGAGGGAAAAGTGAAAGAATTGGGTCTGGAAAAGAGAAGACTGGAAGGGGACATAACAGCTTTCAAGTACCTAAAATGTTACAAGGAGGAGGGAGAAAAATTATTCACCTTAACAGGTGATGATCGGACAAGAAGCAATCATCTTAAATGGTAGCAAGAGAGGTTTACATTGGACATTTATTTAAATCCCCCGCGGCATTTGCAATTCTGACTGGTCTCATTAGCATCCCTTTTCTGGAAAGGGGTGCCAATGTAGAGGCAGCCAAAATGTTGTTACAAGGAGGAGGGAGAAAAATTATTCATCTTAACAGGTGATGATCGGACAAGAAGCAATAGTCTTAAATGGTAGCAAGAGAGGTTTACATTGGACATTGGGACATTTCAGTTAAACACTGGAATAAATTTCTAGAGAGGTTGTGGAATCTCTATCATTGGAGATTTTTAAGAGCAGATTAGACAGACACTTGTCGGGGATGATCTGGGTATTACTTAGTCCTGCCATGAGTGCATGGGGCTGGGCTAGATGATCTCTTGAGTCTATGATTCTATTCGGTGCAGGATCATATGTTAGAGTTTTCCAATTGTAAACAGGGCATTTCTCTCTCTCTCTCTTTCTCTCTCTTGTTCTGTTCTGTTTTTTCTAGCGGCTTTGTCACAGTCTCACTTTCCTTAATTGCCACAAGGCTTTAAAGTCTCTGGCCAAACTCCCTTAAATCAGGCACAGCCCATGTCTCCCACCACCATTTGCCTACTCAGGTGCCCTTGTCTGTCTTCAATGTATTTAAATCTCATTGAGACCATATGCCTGATTCTCAGTCACTCTTCAATGTATTTAAATCTCATTGAGACCATATGCCTAATTTTCAGTCGCTCCATTGCTGCACTTACGTGGCAGGTAAGCCACAATTACATTCTTTGTTCCTTTTCAGAGGGGTCGCCAAGTTAGTCTAACTCGAAAAACTTAAAAAACAACTAGTGGTCCCGCAGCACCTTAAAGACTAACAAAACATGTAGATGGTGTCATGAGCTTTCTTGGGCACAACCCACTTCTTCAGGTGAACAGAGTATTAAAAGTCCAGATCCAGGATCTTAGATATTCTTGGATTTGAACTTTCAGTCCAGATCCAGGATCTTAGATATTCTTGGATCTGGAGTTTTAGTACTCAGTTCATCTGAAGAAGTGGGTTGTGCCCATGAAAGTGCATGATACCATCTATATGTTTTGTTAGTCTTTAAGATGCTGTTAGACTATTCGTTGTTTTTTAAGTTTTTCCTTGCCCAGACCCTTGTGTAAATCAGAGCAGGAGTAAATCTGTGCATCATTGCCAGACTCTGTTACAGTTTTGAGGAACCCAGAGCCTCTAGCAAGATGTAGCCTAGCAAATAGTGGCTATGTGTTAGCTCCCGAACACCACCAGCCTGTTAGTCCAGAGGAGAGGGCTAGAGTGGCTATGTGAGCCCTGTCTTTGCCTGGCAGATTAACACTAGGTGAATCCCAGTCTCTAGTCCCTTTAAATTATTCCCCTGTGGTATCCAGCCCCTGATGCTGGCTACTCACAGAAGTCCCAGATTCTCTTGCCCCAAAGGTACAGTGTGCCCCAGGTTACTTGTTTTAATGTAAATGACACTCCTGTACAGCACACAGCACTTGTTAGCACTTCTAGGGTATGTCTAGACTACATGGCTTCATTTACATCAAAATGGCTGCCGCGCTGTGCCGATCAGCTGTTTGGCAGCACAGCGCGGTAGTATGGATGCTCCACGGTCGACAAGGGAAGCCATTGTCAACTACCCCATTATGCCTTGTGGAATGAGGTTTACCGCAAAAGGGCTGCCGTGCTGTGCCGATCAGCTGTTAGTTGACTCAGCGCGGTAGTCTGGATGCTCGGCAGTTGACACCAAAAGCCTTTGACGACTACCCCATTATGCCTTGTGGAATGAGGTTTACCGGGGCGGTCGACAAGGGCTTCCCTTGTTGACCGCGGAGCGTCCAGACTACTGCGCTGTGCTGCCAAACAGCTGATCGGCACAGCGCAGCAGCCATTTTGATGTAAATGAAGTGGCAATTATTTAAATCGCTGCTTCATTTCCCTTTTTCGAGTACACTAATCTACATGGCTCCGTTGACGGAGCCATGTAGTTTAAACGTACCCCTAATGAAACTAGAGACAATTTCTTTTAAGAAAGAAAGCTCACTAGAAATAAGAGAGGGTATATGTACACTTGCACCCTCTTTCGAGAGAGGGATGCAAATGTAGACATTTGAAATTGCAAATGAAGCCGGGATTTAAATATCTCATGCTTCATTTGCATATTTGTGTTATGGCGCTATTTCAAAATAGCGCTATTTTGAAAAAAGAAACTCTGTTTAGACGCAGTTATTTCGAAAGAAAACCCTTCTTCCGAAATAACTGTTAAACCTCATTTGATAAGGAATAAGGGTTATTTCGGAAGAAGGGCTTTCTTTTGAAATAACTGCATCTAAACAGCGTTTTTTATTTTGAAATAAGGTATTTCGAAATAACGCCCATCTTCATTTTTTTAAATTGTATCCTTTGGTATATATGGTTGTGACTACTTTCTTCCACTATTTGATCTGAGGAAGTGGGTCTGGCCCACGAAAGCTCATCATCTAATAAACCATCTTGTTAGTCTTTAAAGTGCTACATTGTCCTGCATAGAACAAGATAGTCACCTTTCCTAGCTAACAAAATTGGTTCCACACAAAAACTCAGTATCATGCAGAATTATCTGGCTTCACTGGAATAAAGATCCAAATTTGCATGGACAAAACCCACTCCAAAAATGTCTCCTGAGTGAAAGCATTCAGAATTCATCATGCACATGCATCTCACAATGATTCTGAGTAGTGATAAGTTGCATGCTTCCTATCAATATCTTGCTCCTTGTGGATAAATTCCCTGGAGGACATGTGTTCAGTCTAGTGAGCTTGTCAAATGTGAGGTGTTTCAATGGACTGGGGAGCCTTTTCTAAGGGAGCGCCGTGTCATGAACATTATAACCACGCTCAAGAACCTCCCTCCTTGTGACAGATGCAGATACCTGTACTAATGCAAGTATGAATATGAATATGGCTCATTTTATTTGCTAGGCCACTCTACAGTTTGCATTATTCCTTATGTGCACAGTGTATTTCCCATCTCTCCTGGGCCCAGGTCTCTCTGGGGCACTACAGCTGCTGAATGGAGAAGGCCGGTGCGATGGCAGAGTGGAGATTTCCCTCCGTGGTGTATGGAGCCAGGTGCTGGATGACCAGTGGGACATGAACGATGCCAGTGTGGTCTGCAGGCAGCTCCAGTGTGGAGAGGCTGAGAGAGCTTATAACCCCCCTTCGTCTGAGCAAGGGACAGGCCCCGTGGGGCTGAGAAGGGTCCAGTGTGCAGGGAACGAGACTCGTCTGGCTGGCTGTGACATCTCCACATCTGAGACGGCTCAGGAAGGAATTGCTGAGGCTGTCGGTGTTGTTTGCTCAGGTGACTTACTATGAAAATCTTACAAACATCCTTTGCTTGTTCAATAGGATTATGACCCACTGCAGGGCCTTTCCCCTGTTGCTGAGATCTGAAATAGATATGGATCTGAGATGCACATTATGAACCATATCCAGTAAAAGTATGTGTGTGATGTGCAGAAACAACAACATAACTTCTCATCAATTAAGTATCAGTGCAAATCATCTATTCTGCTTCCAGCCTGTGCACTGAATAAGGCTTGTGAAAAAGACAGGATGTGATCACAGACTCCATGTCTTTATTATAAAGCACACACATACCAACAGCCTATACATCTATTTCCTAACTTTTCACTGCTTGAATTTGCAACTCAAATCGTGCTTTTTAATGTTGTTTTTATGTGAAATTTCATATGAAAAGAAGAAATGTAAAACCAAATTCCATTATATGCACCCTCACCTCATTCCTTTAGTGCTAGAGCCCAGATTGCTACTACTATTTATCCTGCAGGACATGGGCGGTGGGTAAAAGTAGGGCTGGGAGAGGCATGGCCCCAGCACTGCCCCAATCCCACCCACTTAGAAGGAGTTCTTGATAGTGGGTAAAAGTAGGGCTGGGAGAGGCATGGCCCCAGCACTGCTCCAATCCCACCCACTTCGGAGTTCTTGATAAAACAGACGAACACTCTAAAATATATAATAGATTTAGGGTTCAGTCCTGCAACTGATCACATCCTAGCCAAAATCACACATAAGCCCAATGCTGAATGCAGAAGGCCTGATTTTGTGAGAAACTTTATTAAGTGCTTTGCTAAAAGGAAGAGGTATTACATCTATTCTTATCATCCATTGATATGAAAGTATCTAAATGCAGTAAAAGATACTTAGCATGAAATGTTCTCTGTAGAGCTTAGCTGCTACTGGCTTATTATTCTTGCTTTGGATTCTGGGTAGAAATATGAATTACAGGACAGTACTAATCAAGATGACTTGTCTTTCTTTCATAATTGTCAAAATAATTTGGTACCATATTTGCTTCCTCTAATCTTCTAGTTCTGCCCAATTCTTCAGCACTTACAAATATAGTTATTAATGCTTAAGCAAATTTGTGAGGTAAGAATTCCTTGAGAGCTCTAAGCTTATTTTCAAATATATGTTTGAAAAGATTTGAGTTTAGAAGTCACAACTGATTCTACAAATCTATAAACTCCCAGCTAGTTCTTTCTCTTCTGTAAGTCAAATGTTCAGGACTAAGCCTTCCATTGTCGACACTAGCACTTTTGTGGGTTGACTGCAGTGAGGAGAAAAACACATGTATTATTGGGGGTGGTTTAACTATGTAGACAGGAGAGAGATCTCCTGTTTCCAGTGAATGACTACACAGGAGACCTTACAGTGGTGCAACTGTGCTCCTGTAAAGTCTATAATGTAGACATTAAGATCTCTTTATCATACCTTCATCTCTTTCTAACTCTGCAGATTTCATCTCTATGTTTCTTGTTAAAGACAGACTTTTAAAGGCACTGTAGTAGCGCCATTGATTTGTGTGCAAGCTGTTCAGATATCATTATATTAACTTTTACCTGCTGGCATTTGTCCTTGTAGGGAGCAGGCAGATCAGACTGATGAATGGGCCAGGTCGCTGTGCCGGGAGAGTGGAGATTTATTACAATGGCACCTGGGGGACAGTTTGTGATGATTTCTGGGACCTGACAGACTCCAATGTTGTTTGCAAGCAGCTGGGATGTGGACATGCCATCAATGCAACTGTTTCTGCTTATTATGGACAAGGATCAGGCCAGATCTGGTTGGATGATGTGAACTGTACTGGGAATGAATCCAATCTCTGGGCCTGTCCTTCTGCAGGCTGGGACCAGCACAACTGCAGACACAAGGAGGATGCAGGAGTTCTCTGCTCAGGTCTGATCTGTAAATGATCTTGAGAGTTTGGTTACCAGGGGATTTAAGGAAATATATGGGTGTTTGGAGAGAGAGTTAAAGATGACAGAAAGTTTCTCTCTTTCTTTTTTGTATGGAAGAGTACAGCTTGCTCAGGAAGGATAGACAGGGAAAAAAGGGAGGAGGTATTGCCTTATATTAAAAATGAACACACTTGGAGTGAGGTGGAGATGGACATAGGAGACGGAAGTGTTGAGAGTCTCTGGGTTAGGCTAAAAGGGGTTAAAAACAAGGGTGATGTCATGCTAGGAGTCTACTACAGGCCACCTACCCAGGTGGAAGAAATGGATGAGACTTTTTTTAAACAACTAATAATATCATCCAGATCCCAAGATTTGGTGGTGATGGGGGACTCTCAAC